ATAGAAAATATACATTATGGCGAAATAATTCTTGTTTTATTATCTGTATACACTTGTACCTAATCGTTATAATATAATTCTGCTGTACGTGTGTAAGTCATTGAAATCCTCGTTAACGGCTTGGCCGATGAAAATGAATTTTCTGTATGTGTTCGAATGGCGCCCTGGATGCTAAATTAAATTTACAAATCAGCCTGGCAGATGGCGCTGATTGCTTGAAAATGCACGTGATCTCAGAAACGCCCCTAACGATTTCGCTGTTTGATATGTAAGGGTTTTCAGGGGGGTCCGCTAGTTTGGCCTAACGCTGCACCTACCTTTCTTCGCTAATCCCTAAATTTCCAAAACCCTTATCCCCAAAAGGCCGGTAACACGTTCGTAACTCCTATCTGGTGTTTCACAATTATTGATTGCTTATAATTAAAAAATTACATAAAAATAGATATATATATATAACAGTTTTACCGTTGATTATTATAGCGAAAGTATATCATCTAACTAATTAGAAAAATCTTAACAATGATTAATTTTAAAACGTAATTGAGTAGTACAAGTAAAAGTACCTACAATAAAAATTCCTTAGTTTTTTCTTAAACCCTAATTAAAGTATAAAATGATAAGCAGCTCTGTTACTAACTGTTGGACAAACAAGGAAACTATAAAAAAAAACCTTAAATAAAGCGTACATACGGGTTTTTTATATGATAGGACGGTATATAAGCAGGCGGATTACCTGATGGTAAGCAATCAGCGCCATATATGGACACTTGGGGATTAGAGATTTCGAGATTTTGCGATTGGGGAGAGATTGGAGAAGGGAAAGGATTGTTTTTTTTATATTAACTAGGTGTGAGATCAAAAATCTAACCGGTGAAAACTGTCCATACTTAGATGATGAAATTCAATCTTAAAGTCAATAGGTTTGGTATATCAAGTTGGTCCTTTTACTCACAGTTTAGCTTCGGTGAGGACCAATTCTATGCATTTTTTTTAATACCATTAGTCAAAAACCACGGCAAAAAACTAGATGGATACCAATATACCTACATATAAAAACTCTTTTTAGTTATCTCTCCCGGTCTGAGTGCAGCAAGACGGAGTGTAAAATTCTCTTACTCACATAGAAATCCATGCCTTCTCTGGTCCAGGGCTTTTTTATGAGGGGAAAATCATCAAATGACTTCTCCCGCCCAGAGTGAGTCGAGACGGTGCGGTGTGTCACGCTCTCACTAACTAAAACTCCCGTTCCTTCACTCGCTTAGGCATTTTTTTTGGGAAGGGAAAATAATCCAATGACTTAGTTTCAGACTTTTACTGACTAAAACCACCCTTTCCTTCTCCTACTCTGGGCCGAGGCCGCGGTGCCTCATTGCGTTTGCCCCGCAACCCTGGCCGAACATTAGCCCTAAACGAACCAGTCTGTGGTGGTGTATTGGCTCTTACTCGCCAACCGCCGACCCGCGCTGCGGTTTTTTTTTAAACTTTGCCCCACACTAGTATTTCTCCTGTGTCGTGGGTGCGTTTACAAACATACAAATTCAGATACACAACACACCCAGACCCGAAACAACAATTTGTGGATCACACAAAGTGTTGTTCCGTGCGGGAATCGAACCCGCAATATGTTGCACAGCAGCCAGTTGCCCAGCCACTGCAGTCAAAGCAACCGTGCATTCAAAGCAGTCAAAGTCAGAGCTGCTGTAAATTATTGAGCTTACACCCATATCTTACTTAACTTATGTAGTCGACATTACATTTCTCTTCAACTATCTGTAATGGTTATAACCAAAATAAAACAATAATAAAATGCATTAAGGCATAATGGTATCAATAAATGATATCAGTAAGTATACATATTTTAGCACTAAGTTATATTCGAAAAACTAAAGTATTTTCTATTCAGGGCTTGTTATTTACAGGATGTACGAAACAAAAGGTGCTACTTTGCAGTAGGCAATATTAAACGAATACTAAAAGAACATAGTCATCATCAACAGGTTATCAGTGGTGTTGAACTGCTGAGCAAAAACCTCACGATAAGCTCACGCTCAAGGGGGATTGGAGATTTGAAACTTGTACCTAGAAATTATTCAGGTTTCCTTGCAAATCTTTTTTAAGTTTCAGCAGTGTGCCGATTATTATAGAATGTACATATTTAACTCGGAAAAAGCCAAGGCTTCAGCTTACCAAGTTTTGGACCCGCATTTTCATGCATAAGAAGCAGTGGGTACCTACCTCAGAGCCACGAAACAAACAAACAGAAACGAAGCTATCTAATTTTAATTCCGCTACGAAGTATGTAAATGATTATGCAGCTTGAGGCTTCTGGCACAGCCTCTCTCTTCCCCTCTCTAGCCCCGCAAATAAGTGGACACATAGCAGGGATACGTAAAACCACGCAAACATTCTACATTTAACATTACTCTCGTTACTCCACTGAGTATTCTCAGGAGATGCTGACTCGTCGATGGATGTCCCTCAATAGTTATCGAACCAAATTTATACAAATTACGAATACGAGTGGTATACGATAAATTACAAGTAGGAAGGAATATAAAAAATTGTTTTTCTTTTCTTTAAATATTAGTTACATTTTATAAAAAAAAACCTAGACAATTAAGATAGATCAATACGACATAGTTGTAACTATAGTTTTCATTTCGGTTCGTAGTTGAACCTAATGAGAAACTAAATCGAAAAAAGTTTTTATCCTGGGCATGTAACCTCTTACTTTAATAAAAAAACCGATGACTTCCAACAAAAAGACTTGCATGAATAAAACCTATTCTCCCTGTAAGTATAAATTACATACATGATCCGTATGTCGGAGCGTCGATTATTTAAATTGAATTTTGAAGGAGGTTTTATCACAATTTATCGGACGAGGGTACCATAAATCGTACTCTGGCGGAACGTCAAACTGGCAGTTCTGCGTGCGCATTATGTTGGAGAGCGAGCGCTGTGACTGTCATATAGGAGACGGATCGCCGACGTCCGTTATTTTTGTAATTTATTCGGTCTGATTATAAAATCCTACGCCCTGCAATGGACTGTGAAGACGATAATCGGGATGTTGATGTGTGTACCTACCCCCCGGTGCCTTCATCAGAAGTGGGATTTGATGGGAAACTATCTGATAATCCGAAAGAATGACCTGTAACTGACGCGGATAAAAAAGGGGCACGCAGTCATTTGTTTTTCATGCCACGTTTCTACTGCTTGCTTAGAGAAGAAGATCAGCGGTGCAACATTTGAAGAAGTCATCATTTGCCATAGAACTTCTTAAGTCGTGATGGAGATATCTACGGGTGAGGAAGTTCCTTTTCTTTGTTATAACGGGTTATCATGCTCCTTATCTGCGTGTTCATATGATTGAACCAACGACTGTAGTTATAATGAACAAGATAGTTCACAAATTAGATGTTGTTGGTTGATGGTTGTACCTAGTTTCATCTGGGTAACGAGAATGGCTGTGAAAATAATTGTGTGTTGGCGTAACTGATCGTTGGGAAGGATAGTGACGTCCGGTCTATGTCACGTGGTGTCTAGTCGGAGGGACGCGCTAGTCTGACCCAGGCAGGTGATCTGGTGAGCTGGTCGAAGGGATGATGTGGTCTTGCCGGAGCATGTTGGCTGGTGGTAGAGGTGCAGACATCCGGTCCATGCACACCAATCGCTGAGGCCGTATCAGTGTGGTTTGGGAAAAGTTGTTTTGGAAGTAGGTACAACTGAAAATGATGATAATGTTACATCGATGTTGAGTACAGTAACCAGACGATGTTGAGATAGCGCATGTTAGTCAGGATGAACGAGCAGCGTGCTATACACGTGGAATCTTTCTTATGTTCCAGAACTACCACATAACTAGGATCGCTCGAGGACGAGCGAATGTCAGTCTGGCCGTGTCGGAGCGTCGATTATTTAAATTGAATTTTGAAGGAGGTTTTATCACAATTTATCGGACGAGGGTACCATAAATCGTACTCTGGCGGAACGTCAAACTGGCAGTTCTGCGTGCGCATTATGTTGGAGAGCGAGCGCTGTGACTGTCATATAGGAGACGGATCGCCGACGTCCGTTATTTTTGTAATTTATTCGGTCTGATTATAAAATCCTACGCCCTGCAATGGACTGTGAAGACGATAATCGGGATGTTGATGTGTGTACCTACCCCCCGGTGCCTTCACGTACATATGATTTGATAAGATAACATGTGATATATGTAATATAATATGCACGTAATCTTATTTATTTTACTCTTCAAACACGAATGTACCTCCCTACGCAAGTACCTAACTTAATAACTTATTTTTTTTATTGTTGCTTATCTTTTCCTAATACTTTACTATGACCTAAGTCTTTTTCCAAACATTATTAAAATTCCATAAATATTTTTTTTAATTTGTAACATAATTTTTAAGTCATATATGGCTTTTATATTTTATTTTTATGATTTTGAAAACATTGTACTCCTCTTGCAGACATCTTCTTTCTCATAATGAACTGGTAGAATGTTTTGTCATCCTCTAGAAGGTACTGAAGGCAAACATCCTACATCTGCCTTTTTCTTTCTCTTCTATGAGAAGTTGTTGGATTACAAACGATGTTAGTCTTTATTGCTGGTACGTAATAAACATAAGATGGCATAATTATCAAAATGTACCATACAAATATTTTTCTGATTGTGTTTAAAAAATAATGGAAAATTTGTTATTGTAAGGAGCTCCGTTTAACAGCTTATCTGCCACGCTATTTTCCGATTAATCGTTTCGAAGACGAACCGTGGAAAATCACAATTCGATTCCGATGTAATTATTCCTCTAAACTCATTTGACCAACGGCCTTCGTATTGGATTGTCTCTGTTATTTTGCATTTATCTGCGATCACACTGGCCACAGATTAAATTTGCGTGCGACAGCCAACGGGCGATCGCTTTAGCTCCCGCCAAAAAGATCCTTCGTTCCATTTTTAAAAGTGACATTTTTATTAAAAGTTTGAATTCAGTGTTCGCATTGAAGTTTTATTTTGTAAAATGAAAATTAATTTGGATGATGGGGTAAGTTTTTCAGTACACTCCTTATTAGCTAATTAAAGAACATTATTAAATCATATTGATGTGATTATGATTATGATTATATTTATTTAGTTCAATAATGATAGTTAATTGCAGTACTAATATCATACCTATCCTACCAATAATAATGCATGTATCATTATTATTGGTAGGATAGGTATGTATGTAGGTATCCAGAAAATGTAATAAATGTATTTTTTAGTTACTTACATAGCAGATTTAATTTCGAGTATTTATGTTACTAAGTTTACTACTTAATATTATAAATGCAAAAGTTACGATTTTTGGATGTTTGTTACTCAATCACGCCAAAATGGCTGGATGGATGTGAATGAAATTTGGCATAGGCATAGGATACAATCCGTTACTTTTTATCAACATACCACGCTGGTGAAGCCGCGGTCGAAAGCTAGTTTTCAATAAATTATGTTCGAATCAGAAATTATCTACAATTTTAAAAGTAGTAAATTTTACAAAAAAATCTAACTATACTCTACGAAAGGCTACGGAAACGGATGGTTATATGAGCTACGCGAGGCTACGTGATTACCACTACTAGGCTTTATAGACTTCATGAGGTCTATAACGAGTCAGCGATCGGATATAAGGCACATATTAATATATCATTGGAAATGATAGTTGATAAGCATATCATGACTGCTCGGTTGGCGCGGTGGCTGGCTAACGGGTTGCTACGCAACCTGTCGCGGGCTTGATTCCCGCATGGAACAACTTTGAATTACTTGTAACGTGAAATTGTATGTTTGTAAACGCACCCACGACACAGAAAATCCAACAGTAGGCAAGGTATTTTTTTTTAATCCGATTTTCTCGCCATGAAGAGAAAACTACACAGTGCTCCTCCATTTTACGGACTTTTCTTAGAAGGCACATTTCCGAACAATACGAAGAAATTATGAATGGATAAAAATCATCCGTTGCGGATTTAAAAGCATTTACATTAGGTACATTAGCTAGTAATTAAAAAAAGCTTACTGAAAAACTATCTTTTCTACGTAAGTCACTTTTTAGACTTTTCTCGAACAAACTTAATGATGTTGGTTTTTATAAATTCACTCCATTTCAATTGTTACAAATTGATTTAGCATGTAATAAGAAAAAATATACGCTAGCAACAAAAAGTTTCTGAGAAACCTGAATGTAACTTTTTTCGCTATCAATCTGGCCAGTTAGATGTTTTCTGATTTTGAATATTCGAATTTAGATACATTATAGAACACTGACTTGCCTGTTGGAACTATTATAATCAAACTAATAATTTTAAACCCTTTTAAATGCTTTTGTGTGTCTTAACACATAAGAAAAAATATTGAAAGAGAACACGTATGAATAACCCTTATCTTTAAAAAAAACATTATGTTTCTTTATTCATTTTCATTTTTAACTAAAAATCTATTTTCTGGAAGCCATATTCATTATCCAAAAACGATGACAACAAAAAAAAATGAAAAACTACCTAGGTACTTACTTATATCTTATAGATTATTCTAATTAGTTTTTTTTTATATTTTTACTTTTATAAAGTATAAAAATAAAAACCAGATTTATATTTACGTATTAAATATCTTTTTTTGTCATGGCAAAATCATCAAATGATCTCTCCCGCCCAGGGAAAGGCGAGAGGGAGTGTCGACTGTCTCTTGCTGACTAAAAACCCCCGTTCCTTTTCTTGCTCTGGGCCGAGGCCGCGGTGACAGATTGCGCTTAATCCGGAACCCCGGTAGTATTGAATATATCGGACGTATTAAATGCAAAGGCAAAGACGGATATCGACCCATTCAAAGTTTCCATTTTCATGATATCCAAACTTACATTATAAATGCGAAAGTAACTCTGTCTGTCTGTCTGTCGTTTCTTCACGCCTAAACTACTGAACCGATTTTTATGAAATTTGGTACAGACATAGTTTGGAACTCGAAAAAGGACATAGAATAGTTTTTATGCCAAAAATCTACAGGAAGTCACTATTCCACGCGAACAAAGCTAGTGGGCAAAAGTTCGTAACAAATAAATTTATTTTTTTAGCCTTGATATTGACAATAATGTTTTAAATTTATTTCTTATTGCATAAAAAATATATAAATATTTGTGTTTGGGATTATTGTTATTGATTATAATCAATAACATTATTATGTTTAAATTTTAAATTTGTTATGACTAAAGGTCCTTTCCATTTTTTTTTTTGATAGGTTTGTCCTCCATATTTTTGTTTTTGACCCAGTTGCCTTACTTAATCAAACGAAGGTACTTAGGTACTGCTCGAAGGAAAGGCTGCATGGTTTATAAATTGTAACCAATATGTTTGATGGTCACCGGCAAAATAGTAAATTACAACATTTCTCCTATACATATGACATTTAGGAGAAATATTTAGGTACATGTTCGTAAAAGTTATGGGGTGGACATTTTTCTTTTATTTTTTTCTGTACCGGAGACTTATATTATTATACTAGCTATGAAGACCTAATACGATCCTAATAAGATCCTCAAGCACTGGACACTGGTGTTCTCTCTCATCTACTACATTGAATATAAGTATTCCTCCTCCTTAGAGATTAAATTAAATACATATATAGTATACATATACAATACAATAAAAAACAACAATAGCCAACAACACTTTCCAGCCTCCTTAACTATCTCCAAATATAGAAATCACAACATCAAAATCACTTTGGTTCGTATAAGTCTAAGCTCTACCGAGGCAATACCACGGCCTCAGAGAAACCCAGTGTAAACAAAGCTGTGTAAGTGAAGTTACACGAAGTCTAATTAAAATTCAAAACCTCAATTTTTTATAAAGTAGTGTCCATAAGGAGCGCCGTTTGCTTACCATCAGGTGAATTGGTAATAAGTCAGCCCATTTGCTGCCCTATCACATAGAAAATAAAGATAAACATACAAATACACTTTCGCATTACTTACTTAGTGAAAATGTTTGTATAATTTTATTAAGACAGTTATGTCAACACATTCAGTACATCGTTTGTTATTGACCTATAAAACGCCCTCAATATGAAAAGAAACCTTATACTGTTCGTCTATCTTAGTTTACCCTTAGTCAGTTTCTGTCTTTTAGTACTACTATAATACTAACAAGTTATTAGTATAGAGATCCCGCAAGGATGAATTCCTTAACTAGGAATGCGATGCAGTTACAAGTTGCCATATTGCCACTGCGCCAATCACACAAAGACTTTTGACAAAAAGTGTATAATAATTATGCTTAATCCATGTGTGTGAGAAGTGATATGGAAGACAGAGGAGTTAGCGATAGCGTGATGTGTGACAGGACAGAATGGAAGAAAAAAACATATTGCGCCGACCCCAAATAAAACGGGACAAGGGCAGGAAGAAGAAGAAGAATCCAACTCTTCGGAGAAATAGACGTGCTTTTCATGTGATACGTCGTCAAAAGAGCAGTTCAATTACCCGATAGTAACCAATCGGTGCCGCCCATGGACACCAGAGGATTCGTCGGTCCGGTTGTGGAGATAAGGGGTTTTGGTATTAAAAGATTGTGGAGGGATGGGGGAGATGGTTATATTGTGAATTACGTTATTTGTTATCTTTTATCCTGTCTTATTTAACAACAATATGACAAAACCTAGCTTTATTTAAACGTATTTTATGTCTAGATTAAGTTAATCTTAGTTATCTTGAAGATTAAAATATTAGGTATGCATTGATGCGCGTGCAACTAAAGTGCATGTGGCATATTGCAGTCATTTGTTAATTTACTTGCCTCGATAAAAGTATCTCATTTGACGTGGAATACGTGATTGAAAGATTTAAGTTTTTATTTAGTCTTACATAAATTCGAAAATATATATTCGTGTTTAGATTAAGTGGGTTTTAAATTTAAAAATAAATATTCCAAGTGAAAATTGGATCAAAAGTACACACTCAGAATACAGAACAATACACAATAAATATTTCTAAAGTCATGGATGACAATGATGTGAGTAGTATTATTTTTTAAATCTGACAGACACAAGCTACAATGGCAACGCACAGTATTTTATTCTATATCAAAATGTCTTCCTTGATAATAAGTCAACCAGAAAGAGTTTTTCTCTCACAATTGGAATGAAAAACTCCATCTGATAATAAAGGATGGTTGTTTAATCTTTCAATTAAAATCTACTTAACACGAACGAGCCTGATGTAAATTTGCCACCGAGCATTTTATTGGAGGATTATTATGGAATCTACGCTATTGTAAGCTCAATTCTATCTCATCACCCGCTTATAAGTGCCCACTGCCAGAGCATTTATCACCACGCTTGTTCAAGGTGGATTGACCATTTCAGACTTAGAAATCATATTTTATAATTCCTCACAATGTTTTCCCTATCCGTATGCCAGAGTTGTCAAATCAATCATAGAAAGTGCATATAACTCGGAAAAAGTCACAGTGGTACTTTCCAGGTTTCAAACCCCTATGCATAAGAAGCGGATGCTTTCGCTCCGGGTAAACAGTATATTTTTAAATAGCAAATTCGACCCCCAAATATTTGTCAAGTCTTCGTAATGTAATCAATAAAATTCCGGTGGGCGGTTGGTTCTTACGATCGATATTTGTACACCATTATAATAATAAGTATTATAGTTAGGTAGGTAGGTATACATATTAACAATTCATCAAGGTTAGTCACCGTACTATCAGTGGAAGTCTTGGGCGTGTATCGTCCTGTCCTCTCTTTTATTACATGGTTAAAAATGTGAGTTTTGACCGTTACATACTTATAAAGGATTAATTAGAAAAGCTATTACATCTACATAATATATTTAAATAAATCAAACGAAACAAAATAACGACACTGTCAATTAAAATAAATACTTATTTGTTTTTGTTTTTTGTTTTATGAACATAATTAATTATACCTATTTAAAGCTGTAAATCTTCTGTCTTTCTTTCTTTATTTTTTCTTGCAAGAATTGAACAATATTTCTTAAGTAATTCTAGAATTTTAAATATAATTTTATTATATTCTTCTAGAGTAATTTAGTACTTTATGTCTACCATTTCCTTATATTTAATTTGGTCTTTCAGATGCCACCGAACTTATCGGAGAGTCTCCTCCCGGAGACAGGACCTCGAAAGCTGGAGAAGACGAGGTCTTTAGAGTCATGTGCCAGTTCCATCGATCCTGAGTGCAGCTGCGATGAAGCTAGCTACGGTATAGGTTGCTACACTGTCTTAAAATTACATTTCATTAATTATTTTTATTTATTATACTAATTCATTTAATTAATTATTTTTATTTATAAATATTACATTTAATTAATTATTTTTATTTATAAAAATCAACCTTACTGGCGTATTAATGCCAGCAAAGTAATGCACCGCGGCTTCGGCCCGGGTTGAAAAGGAATGGGGTGGTGTTTAGTCAGTAAGAGTCTGACACTTCCTCTTACCATAACCTAAGCAAGAGATCAGCTGGGTTTGCGGGGTAAGCGCAATGAGGTACCGCGACCTCGGCCGAGAGCAGGAGAAGGAACAGGGGGCTTTTTAGTCAGTAAGAGTCTGACACTAGCTCCCGCCCGGCCCTGGGCGGGAGAAGTAATTTGATGATTTTCCCCTCACAAAAAAAAACCTAAGCAAGAGAAGTCATTTGATGATCTGCTTCTGTCCTCAGATTCATTAAATGGTTACGCACCACAGTTTTCAGCAAGTTTTTTGCTGCTAAAGAAAAGTTTAAGTAGGTACTCATTGTGTGAAAATGTCTGTGACTAGGTTAGTTTTTCAGGGTTGAGTTTAATGAAACGTTTTTCTTTTGAAACCAAGTAATTTACATTCTAATAACAAATTTAGGTACAAATAATGGTGATTGATGTGTTGATTAAATTCAATCGGTTAATCTCGAAAATGAGCACTTACCCACGTTCAGTTGACCATGAAATTACTTTACCTTCCAGTTTGTAAACCTTATTGATTGATATTATAAAGTGCACATTCCTCCCATCAGTTTTTTAAAAGAACAGAGTCTTGAATTCTATGGTTAGAAATGTTTTTATAGAATTGTTTTCTAAGTGAAGTATGTTTGATAGAATTCAGATTTAGATTTCGTGTTTAAATTGAACCTCAGGACCCTAAACTTTGTAATGAATTACTAATCTTATAAACGGATAAGTAACTACTGAAAAAATCTGAATTATATTTTTATTATATATTATGTATATTGATATTCTAGACTATCATATACCTATGATACTTTTTAACCTGGTACTACGCAAAACCACCGGCAGCTTATAAACAAACTAGCTATTCTCGCGCGGTTTCACCCGCTGCTCGGCTCCTACAGATCGTAGTGTGTTTTTGTATAGCCTAAAGCCTTCCTCAAAAAATGGCTTATTAAACACAACAAGAATTTTTTTTTTTGAACCAGTAGTTCCTGAGGTTACCGCGTTCAAGCAAACAAACAAACTATTCAGCTTTATAATATTACATATAGTATATGTAGATTAGTTAGTATTTAGCATACATAATTACATAATAACAAAGGTCAATAACCCGATCATATTTCTAGGTGACGCTGTATTCTCCTGCTTCATCGTGGCTCCTCACGTTGTCAGCATCTGGCGTGGAACATGGGGCTTGATGGAGCTGAAGCCAACGCTGTTCCCCTTCGCCCAAATATACCTTCTGGGTATCGTGATACATATCAGCTTCGCTATTGTTCGGTAAGTTTTGTAGGTAACAAGTAATCAATGTATATGTTTGGTAGATGTCACTGTTGATGTAATTAAACCAGGCGGTTTTTCTTTCAATTATTTGGTAGTTAGGATTTAAACACGCATACATATTGAAGTTGGTAGTTAAAGTCACTCAATCAAATCTTTACTACCTACGTTAAGGTGTCTGATAAGTTGATGGTTAGGTATCTATGTACTAAAATCCATCCAAATTGGTTCAGTAGTTAATTAGTTAAAACATAATGTTATATCGATACTACATACAAAATAATAAATTGAAACAGGAAGGTATTATTATTTATTTATTGATTAATACGGTGAACACCAACTACGTTAATCAGGATAACTTTATTTTATTTTTTGTGAAGGGGAAAATCATCAAATGACTTCTCCCGCCCAGAGCCGGGCGGGAGGGAGTGTCAGACTCTTACTGACTAAAAACCCCCCTGTTCCTTCTCCTGCTCTGGGCCGAGGTCGCGGTGCCTCATTGCGCTTACCCCGCAACCCCAATCAGGATAACTTTAAAAAACGAAATATAAATGGACTACAATTTACATACAAAGATAAGATAAAAAATATTGTAAATAAGTACATATGTATATTATAACTTATAACTATAATAGGTAGATTCCTACTATTCAAAGTAACAATGAGACGAAGAACATTGCTCTGAGTGCAGCCGTAACAAGATTACTATGCAAAGTATATTATGCAAGCATCTTACTAAATACCTTTATGAGCGTTATAAAACGTCACAAACACGCGCTGTTTACTCTTTTCTATTTATAGAGTTTATTGAGTTATTATGATTGTCTAGAAAATAATTGTAGAATTTTACTTTTGTGGGGAAAGTATTCCCAAAACAATTGTACATACATGTAATATACGTATAGAAGAAATGTATCCAGGGATTTCAAAAACAGCAGCGTTTAAACCGATAGCTCGACTAACATACACAAATCAGGAACAAATTTTGAAAATCGGACCAGCAGCGGTTTCAAAGATTACATCCTACATACACAGTTACAACCTCTTTATAGGTAATATTAGTACCTATATACATATATTTATTATACCTATATAGATAGGAACACATTGCATTGGGTACTGAGTGGATCAAACCTGCTGAACGTCCTAGGCAAGCACCTGATGATGCCCGTATTATTTTCTAAGCTTATGGATTTCGGGCCCAAGCTACACGCATCGCGAGCCTCTTTGTTAATATGCTCGCCTCTTGTCGCCTCTCCGAAATGTGGCGCCTGCTCTGGGTGGACTTTTATAGGTTTTAGAATATGCGGTTTTAATTATGAAGACGTTCTATAAGGAATTAAGCTTTTAGTGAGTGACAGTAAAGTAAAAACATGTATTTATTATGTCTACCTCTCAGATCCATTAACATCTGTCGAAAATGACGCAAAATTGCCTTTTAACATTGATTGTCTGTTTCGCAACGTCTAAATAGCCACTATGTTTGAGATAAGAATTGAATATGAATCGTAATTTTTATGAACTATCTATGCCATCGGCAACGCTCCTGTGACTCGGCAACGCACCTGTAACTCCTCTGGTGTTGCAGATGTTCATGGGCGGCGCCGATCGCTTACCATCAGGTGATTCGTATGCTCGTTTGCCACCTATTCCATGAGAAAAATATGTGCCGCAATAGTTTATGCACACCGCAGCCCCGGCCAAAACCGAAGACATTGGTTTTTGGGTTAATAATCTGACACTCTACCGGCTTTGGATCAATGGCCATCTCCAAAAAAGAGTGGATTAGGTATCTACCTTTTTAGAAACCTAGGCATAATATGTACCTTCACATCCTATTCATCCCTTTTACGTTTGTATACCTTAGTATACCTTAGATAATTTATTAACGAAGGCAGATACTATAAATAAACATGAAACACTAAAAGGTAACAGTCACCGCTCTCGTTTCGACATCATTTATCAACAAGGTGCCTGTGGAATACATAATAGCAATTAATCGTAGTACTGAACCTGTGTCATTCTTATACTAGTGAGACGTTATTTGGCACCAATACTTAGAGTAAATTCTAAAATAAAATGTTTTTTTTAAACAGAACCTAAGGTTACTATATTCTTATTGGTGTAAACATGAGTTGTAATTAATTTTGAATCCTAAGAACATTAATTTTAGTCTATTATTTGTTTATTTCTTATTATGTGATTGGTCGGTAAACGAGCTATCGGATCACCACATGTTAAGCAATCAGCGCCGCCCATGGACATTCGCAACAGCGTGGGACTTATGAGTGTGTTGCCGATCTTTTGGAGATTTAGGAATTAGTGGAAGGAAAGGATTTGGCGTCTGGAAAACTCACTCACACAAACACAACGGCCGTGGTACCACTCCAGTTGAGCCGAGCCATTCGTGCCGAAGCATGGCTCTCCCACATTTTAATGTTGACCAAAATTAGTCGAGTTGAGACATTTGATAGTATCTTAATCTTCAAACAAAATGCTCGTCTATATTATTGTCCTATTGTACGTTTACAATTTATTTTCCTTCCAGAACAAGACTGTTAGCTCGTTCAGCCGGAGCATGGAGCAAACCCGATGGAGGCGCCATCTCGTGGGTGCGCGAGAGGATAATAACTCGGGTGTACGCCTACATATTTATTCTGAGCAACATTATGCACTGGCGCGGCGGCTGGGGCCTGCTCGATATGTTTGTTGACAGGTGCCTGCCGGACATTGAGGATCCGCATAGGTAAGAGTTATGTACATCAAGTAAATAAAGTTTTTGGTTAAGGTTACTGGTCAATTACTTTTGTAAAAGTATATTAAGCGAGGCAAGGGCAAAAAGGCTTTACCCCGTTCCTTCTCCTGCATATAAATGATACTGGGGCAAGAGCCGCACCCAATATCATTGGATGATTTTCCAATCGCAGAAAACGGCAAAAAGGATACACATATTAATAAGTAGGCACACCTACTCAATGCTTAGGTACTTATATTATAAAACAGGATTAACAAGAAACAGGTTTCACAATTTCAAAATGTTTCGATCGACCCGGGAATTGAAGTCTCGAAGACTCTTCATTCATCCATTTTATTTTCCATTTTAATAGAAATTCTTGAGATGGCTTTATCATCGATCTTTCAATTGTTAGGGTGCTGTATTACGTTGACAATAACTTTCATATCTCCAGGCCAGTACTAATAGGCGGAATAACCCTGCTCTTCTACATTGCGATCACGGTGTTACGGTCCTCCCGCAACCTGCTCGCCTCGCCATACTTCCTAGTCACAGATGGAAAGGAACCCACCTATATATTTACTACTAGATTTCAAATTTCGGTAAGTACTCTTTACTACCTATATAAGATTGGTACAAACAAAGCTACATATGTAGCTACATAGTTTAAAACAAAGTCGCTTTCTATGTCCTTATGCTTAAATCTTAAAAAATACGAAACAGATTTTGATGTGCTTTGTTTAATAGATAGGGTGATTAAAGTGGAAGGTTTATATACGTCCATTAAATAGTGGAGTCATTTAGTATTAGCATTGAACCCATGCAAAGCCGAGGTGGGCCGCTAGTATATTTATGTATTTAGATACTAGCTTCTACCGCGAGGTTTCAGTCGCTGTTCGGCTCCTATAGTATGTAGTGTGATTTTTTATAGCATATAGCCGTCCTGGATAAATTAACTTTTCAATACAAAAAAAATGTGAACAATTCTTTTGAACTAGTAGTTTCAGAGATTAACGTGTACAAACAAACTTTTCGGCTTTATAATATTATACAATCTTTTTTGGGCACCACGTAGTGACATGGGTTGTCCTATGTACTAACGCTTCACAGAAGAACTATTGATCAAGTCTTAACTAATTTTGACTCTAAGTTTAATAGGTACTAGCAGCCCGCCCTTGCTTCGCACGTGTGTTCAACTACTTCGCTTATGATAAATTTTCTCAATTATTTTCTTTTATAACATCTCTGGAAGTGAAGGAGAAAGTTTCTCCTGGCATTTACAAACACCACAAAATATGAATTAGCACTCCACCACCACCACTCTGGAAATCGTTGGATCAAACCTTTGTTCAGAATCGGACGTATCGTGAACCATTATGAAGATGATTTCTAACTTCTATTCCAGATTCATTCAAAGCTTGTTTGCTAGAAATCGCCTTGTAGTAAGATATGTCTATAGGTATATTATAAAGAGCTAAAGTTTGTATTTAGGGAGTAATTAGGTCGGATTGCCAAAATTCTTTCACTGATAGATAGCTACAATATTCCTGAGTGCTATAGACTATAAAACATTGCGCTACGATCAAATGGAGCTGAACAGCGGGTGAAACCGCGCGAGATTAGCTAGTGTATAATATACGATATGTAGTAAAAGGATGATTCTTTAAAACATCCCCTCTCCCCCCAATCCTCAAATATATTAATCAAGGATTAAAGATATAAGGATTTAAGGATAGGGGCCAGCAACGTACTTGTAGTAAGTAACTCCTTTGGTACCACAAGTGTCCTTGGGCGGCGCTGATTGTTTACCCTCAGGAAATCCGCTTATTCTTATTCATCTACTCAAAATCTATAAGGCTATTCAACAGATCTTCTAAGCCGCTGCATAGAGATACATTAGTTTCAAACAATAACAAAACATTAACAAGCTTCTGCTCGCGACTTTGTTCGCGTGGAATAGTGACTTCCTGCAGATTTTTGGTTTAAAAACTATCCTATATCCTTTTTCGACTTCCAAACTATGTCTGTCCGTACCAAATTGCACACAAATAGGTTCTAAACTTAGGCGTGAAGAAAAGACAGACAGACAGAGATACTTTCGCATTTATAATATTAGTTTGAATGTTATTTCGTTGACAATCCCTACCAAAGATCAACGGTCAATGCTGAATGCGTAGTTATAATACTTAGATTGATTCGGTTAGGATGTAGGCAGTTGTAGTGCCCTACTGATCGTGATTTGTCGGCCTATTGTCTTATTATCATTCACGGTCACTCTTACGAAGACCGCGAGGGCAGAGATAAACGTTTCGCGAGAAGTAACGTATTGATGGATTACTATTTATTTCCTTCTTTGTTAGTGACAGTAAATAGTCTCTTTTGCACTTTTTGCCGCCTTCTTATGAGTTGACGTCGGAACTGACTCTTTAACAGAGACCCGGTAGTACTGCTTTCTATGTAATAGGACGGTAAAGAAGAAGACGGATACCTGATGGTAAGCAATCAGCGCCGCCCATGGACAATCGCAACTACAGAGTAGTTACGAATGCGTTGCCGACCTTTTCTTTTAGCGATTTAAGGATTGGGGAGGGATAGGTGGACGGGAAGGATTGGGACTCCGGTAACCTCACTCACACGGCATAACAAAAGTTGTGGTTGTTTCACGACGAATTTCTGTGATACTATGGTATCACCCCGATCGAGCTTATCGAATTTTACTGAAAAAACATCTTTATATATAGCTAAAAGTAAAGGTTTTAAGAGTCTAATAATTTCTAGAATTATCTAAGCGATAGTGAGCAGGAACGAAATATCACTTCTAAGAAAATCAGAATCACGACTAAATTCGTGTTCTATTCCTAGCGCATGTTATCTGCAATCCGTGTGCTATCTATACAATGTGAGGCACAACGAACTACGATTAATCGTCAGCGTGTTGGGAAGTAATCGAACGATAGGACTATGATGTCCAATCTTCGCTCCTCTTATCATTTCTTCCTTTCTCTTCAATTTATTGATCTTAAAGTTATTTATTTTTCAGTTTCTTCGAATAAAACATTAGTGTCACATTGTTCTTACCTATTCGAACCAAGTTGATGATTTTGAGTTTGACTTTGTCAATAATTGACTGCAGAACTACAAATAATAGCACTAATACATCTTCTGATTCTGATTCCTACCATATTAGTTTCGGTATCCTTGGCATTGATAGTTTCATATCTGGACGTTGAAAACATTAAAATAAAATAGGAAAGATTTATCGCATAAGTACTTCTGTCTAATTGGGTGACCATGCTGAGTTGGCTATGATGGACTAATCATTTATAAGATTGAAAAAATGGAGTGCAATCCAATATGTGGTTGCATCTAATACGTATTACGAGACGAAGAAAGCCTTTGATCGCTGAATATTACAGAATCAGTCAACAAGGCTCATTGACTTGCTTACGATATTAGCGTAGATTATGAGTACACCTTATGAGCCGATAATGTAAACAAATTAAGTAATAGAACATAATGGATGTCTTATGGTTAACAAATTGCAATGTCAGTCACCTAAGCGTCATTTTCTCATTACATTAAACTAATAAGAAAGACCATTAAGGACGCGGAAAACTTGACTCATCCTGAATTGATTCCACTACTACGAGAACTTCGCATAAAAGAGCAAGGTCTATTGAAGAGAGATGAGCAATTTCAGCTGGTTAAAGTCCTCTTATCTGAAACACGCGATCCTAGTATCTAATGTAGCTGGTAGCGTAGAATCGTTGAGCCCCAAGCAAACACGGGTACGTCAGAGCGCGGGACGGGTGATAATGCAATTACTTGTAGTAATCTGTCGGCGCGGCGTGCCGGTGGGAGTCAGTCAGGCGCGCTCAGCCACACACTGCACAGACATGCGCGGAAGCACTGCGGGGCTGGCCGACACGCTGGCGAGCGGCTCGCGCGCGCACGCCGCGCTCCTCGAATGCGCCGACGCGCTCTTCGCGAGCCTCGTGGTGGCGCCAGCCGTCGTCACCTACTGGAAGTCCACATGGACCCTGATGGACCTGTACGTGCTGCCCGACGACCCCGTGGGCAGCGCGGCCGCGTGTGCTGCCTTCGGACTGTGCTGTGACTTGTTGTTTTCCGTGTTCCAAACGCAACTGAGTAAATACCTTCGGCCGGAGCGGGGTAGGCTGACGTACTACATAGTGTCGCGGCTGTGCACGGGCGTGGCGGGCGTGGCGTGCGTGGGCGCGTGGCGTGGAGTATGGAACCTGCTGAACGAGTGCACGGGCGACAGCGCGCGGACGCTGCTGTCGACCACGGCGGCCGCCACGCTGTCGCTGGCTGCGCTCAGGGCGCTGCGGAACATCTGCGCGGCGCCTTTCGCTGTTGCCGTTGACTCGCCTCAGGATTACTTCGATGTGCCCACTATGTTCCGTACGGTTGGTACCATTTAGACCATCCATCATCTGCATGCCTGAGTCATCTTCTTCTGGATACTTTGGTCTATCTTCCAGGATGATCAGTCAAATCTGTTAGGTTATATCCGTTAAAAACTACGCATATTCTCAATCAGCTCCCCTGTTCCATTTACCCATATTCGCGTAACTCTGTCTGCGTACTCTGTGTGTGCCCGACTTCCCTTTGTCGTTACGTGGTTTGGACGCTAAACATTGAATATAAATGTCAGGATCTTTGCATACGCAAACAGTATGCAAAGTACAAAAAAATACCTTAAACATCCTAATTTTCTGCGATTTTTGTAAGAATTCCTTTATTCCTTTTATAATAATGATTGTTTATACAGTTTCCTATCTCTTGAAGATTTCCTGTACACTGGAAGTTCGTTACACTCCCTCTCGAGTATAAGATACAAACACAGATTAGTTGAGTGCGTACTTGACACACAAGATCAGCTGATCAGCCGCTCATTCATTCTCGCGTGCTAGTGTTTGCTGTGTGTGGAGTATGGATGCAATGTTTTGAGAGTATAGCTTCTGTAATGACGTTTATAATATAATTCTTTTGTAGGCTAATTGAATCGTAAATTCTTGTACCTACTACCAGTTTAGTCATTGTTTTTAGTAGAAAACAAAAGAACTATAGCTAGGGTATTTACAACTTTCTTATTAATAACTTTTATCACGTTAAAACTTTGGGAAAGATGGCAAATCAATACATAGTATAAAACAAAGTCATTTTCTCCGTCCCTATATCTCTATGTTGGTAAGCTTCAATCTTTAAAACTACGCAACGGATTTGTATGCGATCTTATTTAATAGATAGAGTGATTAAAGGAAGGTTTATACGTATAATAACATCCATTAAATACCTACTAGAATAAGTTTAGTATCAGTAATGCGCCCGTGTAAAGCTGGGGTGGATCACTAGAAAAAAATAACATGTTTTTTTGTCTTTCTGACTGGCGATTTGACATTGTTTTCGTGTATATTTGATTTTGTTTATGTTTGATTTACGTTTATAACAATTTAACCAGTCTATGTGTGACTTGACAAACTAGATACTTTTCATAATTATAATATGTACGGTCAGCAACCGCACATTGTACTACAGCCTAGTTAAAAACCTGCAAATATAGTTAATCTGTATATTACAGTAATGTCACGTACGCAAATTTGCAGCGTTCGGTTTAAAATAGAGCTCGCACAGCATATTTTTTTTACATGGTAAAATATTACACTGTGATATTTTACTATGTATTTTTATTAAGTACAAAATTATGAAATCCAATTTTGTTTATCACCCTCGCTCGCCCCTTCACAAAAAAATAAATAAACTTTATTAAGGTACCAAGTAAAATTAAGAATATTTTTTTTCATTATCTCTAAAAAGGCAAGGTTCTTTGTTTTTTTAGAACATTCGTTTCATATAAATCTAGGTGATTCGAAGAAATCTCCCTAATTTTTTTACAAATAAATTGTCACCCGATTTGTTCAGGAAATTTTAATTTTAAGCAATTTATTGTTTATGTTGAATAAGCTCCGGAACTGCTTGAACAATTTCAAAAATTATAATTATTTGTGGCGAAGCTACATTATCACTGGTAAACATAGGCTACAACTACGCAGGTGAAACTACGGGACATATCAAATTTTGATTTTTCAAAATCAAATTGGAGGCCCAATCCTTTAAATCTCCCAATCCCTAAATCTCCGAAACCCTAATCTCCAAAAGTTCGGCAGCACACTAACGCTAATCTTAATCTAAAATCTTTCGTTGTTGCGGGTATCCATGGGCGGCGCTGATTGCTAATCCGCCTGCTCGTTTGCCGTCACTTGCTATATCACATAAAAAATACCATAATTTTAGTTTCAATGGACATAAAGAACAAACTTTTTTATATTTTGACGTTTATAACAACGTTAATACTTAATTTGCGTAAAAAATCATCCACCTGCCTCTAATTTTAGTATTGTCTAGTCGCTTATCTGACAACAGTCGCTACCCCGCGTCAGCTGATGTTTACAAACACATTCATAAACAATAAAACTTTATTACTATATTGCTTCACTATCTTAATTCATCATAATAATACTTAATGAGATTTAATTATATATTACGTGCTATATAACATTGTTCTTATATAACGGCGTCCTTATAATTATATAAAACTTGCTACAAACTTGATTCTTCCGCTGCCGTCCTCCTATTGGTCGTAGCGTGATGTTTCTTAGCCTATAGGTACCGTCCCTCGATAAATGGACTATTAAGCACAAAAAGTATTGTTCAATTCGAACCAGCAGTTTCGATGATTAGCGCGTTCAAGCAAACATACCAACAAATAATTGTAATTATCTCTAGTTATTAATTACTCTTGGTAAATAAACATAGTAATATAACTATATAACCTTTTTGGTTTCGTCGAAAGATGTTGATAAATGTGTGTACCTAAATAGTCTGATACGGTATTTTAACAACTGAGGGTTGATTTTTCATTCGTTAGATAAATGTTATTTGCGGAGTTGCGGAGTACCTAATTATGACGTCATATTTTTGAATTTGCAAAAGGCAAACTTATCACTAAAAATAATGCTTTAAAAATTAAGTACCTACTGAGGAAGTACTCGTATATAACAGTCAATGAAATAAATATGTTTTTTTTTTGTTGTAGGCATTTAACTGTCCAACTCAATACTTTTATACTTGTCAAATTCAATACTTTTATCCAAATGTCAAAAACGATACTTTTCTACGGAATTTGTATGAAAAACCGAGTTTTGACGTCATAACATTTTTGCGTCAAATAGCTTACTTATTTCAATAATTAGCTAAAAAAAACTAAAATTCATTTTCAATATTTTATTGTATTGAAACATCGAATTATTTTATTGTTAACCTAGGAAACTACCCAATTCTTAAAAAGTGTGGATTCTATGTGCGCAGCCGTTGTGTCAATATGTGAGATGGCAGCCTGTTATTTACTACTATGGAACTCCATAGTTAATGTGACATGCCCATTTACCTCCTTCAAAAATAAAAACATTAGGTAGGTATATAGCTTCCCTTGGTAAACGGAATCTATACTATATACTATACTTTTTATATATATCAATACTATTTACTAAACTACAAAAATATTGTAAAAAGGTAAAATTTGTAAGTTTAATTTTGTATGTATGGGGAAATCTTTGGAACCGCTGGTCGGATTGCCAAAATTTCAATTACAATGTTCCTGAGTTCTTTAGGCTTTAAAACATCACGCTACGATCACGGGTGAAATCGCGTGAGAGTAGCTAGTAAAAAGACAGTTTTTTTTCCATACGAACTATTTGTCATAAGAGCGTTCAAACAAACAAACTGTTCAAAATTTTATATAATAATTTAAATGCGTTATTTCTATTGTATACATATTTGGGCTATGTTTTGATTGTGTCTGGTCATTAATAAGTTATTTGTTTACTTGCAACCTGATAAAATTAGAAGTAATCTCCGCGTTGTCGAATATTTTGAGAGAGTTTATTAAATGGTTAGAGCTGGTTAACTAACTAAGAAATAAGTAGTCTCATAGACCACAAAACCCAACATAAAAATGGAAGAAACATTTATTTTATTATAACGAAGGTTTTAATCTTTAAATTGTGAAACTTTTAATCTATGCTTAGTAATTAAAAAATAAAAACATTCTAATCCTATTTCATGCATCTAAAACGTAAATTGATATTTTTTACTTGCTTTAAGATTTATAAAATTTAATCTCTTTTCATTTTAATATTATTATGGTTGCTCAAATGTCTAGCGAAGGTTGACTGTAGGGTTGACGCAGTATCTAGGTAACCGGCTTCTGTGCAAAGAGACACATATGCACATGCACAATTTACCTCCAGTTTTTACGAGTTGACTTACATGTCAAGTATTTTATAGGGGTTGTGTCTGTTGCCATACTAGTGATAACAGCCCGTCTTTGCTTAGTACGGGTGTCGAAATACGTTGCTAAGGACGAATGCCAAGAGTTCTTATTTTTCGAGTCTTCCATCTACTTTTGACTGCAATGTTTATACGGTGGCTTGGCAACTGGCTGCCGTGCAACATGTCGCGGTTTCGATTCCCGCAAGGAAAATCTCTTTGTGTGATCCACAAATTGTTGTTTCGTATTTGGGTGTCATGTGTGTGTGAACTTAAATAAAATTTTCTTGCGTTTTTCATATTTTCCTGATAACAAGAAACACAACAAAATCAAACTAACCCAAAAAAAGAATCCGATGAAATGCAAGGCAAATCTCTTAAAAATTACAAAATAATATGTTACATAATAATTAAATAATATATTCTATCTATAAGTACGTATTTTTATGAATGCGCGTGTAACAAATATCATTACTATGTAACGTACATACCTAGTAAATAGACAGACAAAATATAATACCAGACAAACTGTGTATACAGTTTTGTTGGACTTTTTATACTTTTTATAATGTAAAATGTACCTTCTAAGCAATAATAAATAAATAATAAAATAATAAATATAGTCAGTGATTTTATTTAACGACATAAAAATTGTTTATGACTGCATAATAATAAAAACTATTGTTATGCAGTCATAAACAATTTTATCTTTTTGCATACCGCTTATATGTATAATAGCTGAAATATTAGTTCTAAATAACTTTGTTTCTTTTTAAAAGAATTTCCTTATCAAGTTTAGCTATGAAAGGTAGACTGTATTATTTATACTAATTTAAAACTGTAACATTATGAGCCATAAGACAATGACTACATATTGGACTATACCATATCTCGTATGAGGACAAGTTGACTTGAGCGAATGGCTCAAAGAAGGAGAAAAAACCAGTTGATTTTTAGTCAATAAAGTCGGAAATATATGACTGTGTCACTATTATATAGCTAGAGACAAAATATATTTTTGCGTGCTTGCAAAAGTATGGCCTTATATCGCGATAATACAACACGACAAGCTACAGTTATAGATTCTGGCAAAAGCGTCTGACATTCTCTTTGATCCGACCCAGGGCGAAGAAAACAAATTAATGCTGTTTCTCGCTCAAGAAAAAATATAATTCTATGTTATCTATAAGTACGTATTTTTCTGAATGCGCATGTAACAAATATAATTACTATGTAACATATATACCTAGTACATAGACATAGACAAATATATATAGTCAGCGATTTTATTTAACGACACAAAACTCATAGTTATTATTATTTTGCTGTCATAAACAATTTTATCTTTTTGCATACCGCTTATATGTATAATAGTTGAAATAATATTCCTTAATAACTTTGTTTCTTTTTAAAGGAATGTTCTTATCAAGTTTAGCTATGAAAGGTAGACTGTATTTATACTAATTTAAAACTGTAACATTATTAGCCATAAGATAATTACCTACTACCTATTGGACTATACTATATCTCGTATGAGGACAAGTTGACATGAGCGAATGGCTCAAAGAAGGAGAAAAAAGTAGTTAATAGTTGCTTTTATTCAGTAAAGTCGGAAATATATGACTGTGTAACTATTATATAGCTAGAGACAAAATATATTTTCGCGTGCTTGCAAAAGTATGGCCTTATATCGCGATAATACAACACGACAAGCTACAGTTATAGATTCTGGCAAAAGCGTCTGACATTCCCTTTGATCCGACCCAGGGCGAAGAAAACAAATTAATGCTGTTTCTCGCTCAAGAAAAAATATAATTCTATGTTATCTGTAACTGTAAGTTGCTTGTGAATCCTAGTAGATCTCTTCTAAGAAAAGATTTCATGGTCCTTTAAAAAATTTACTTATTATTTGAATGAATGAAAGCATTTACACTCTTGAAGAGAATAACGCACAAGGAACTACGTCATTACTCTTTATATCAGGTTACCAAGGCTCGGAATCTTCCGTAACAAAACTTATTGTACTAAAATTAAGACGATGTCGTGTCATATACTGGACCAGTCCACGATCACCCTGCATGGCTGTGATCGCTGTACATTTTTCTATTATAACTGAATCAACGTACAAATGGCAAACGGGATTTTTATTATGATTTAAATCTTTATTACCATCTGTAGGTGAATGAGGAGTTTCTTTCAAACCTAGATCCATCTTAATAAAGGTTACTAGATTTGAGTATTTTTCCTAAACTAAATGAAGTAACAAATCGGTATTGTTTTTATTTGTTTTAATCTATACTAATATTATAAAGAGGTAAAATTTGTAAGTTTGTATGTAGGGGGTAATCTTTGGAACCCCTGGTCGGATTGCCAACATTCTTTCATTGATAGATAGCTACAATGTTCTTGAGTGGTACAGGTTGCAAAACATCACGCTACGATTAAATGGAGCCGAGCAGCGGGTGAAACCGCGCGGGAGTAGCTAGTAAAAAATAAAACGGCGAGCAAGGGTAGGTTGACACCCGATCAGAACCAAACCTCAGCGTATTATGCAAAGCGTTCCGCGCGCGCCTCAAAGAGCCAATAGACCACGACAGATGTGGATTAACAAAGCCGATGTTCATCTGGGCACGGCCTCGGCCTGAAGCCCAAGAAAGAAAGGGGTAGTTTTTATTCAGTAAGAGTCTGATTCTTTCTCTCGCCTCACCGTGATTTTTTGGCGAACGTAGGTACCTCCAAGCTCCATTCCCTAAAAAAATTAAGAGCACTTGAGAAGCCAGTTGGAGATCGCAATTTAAAGGATCATATTTTTCAGACGGCGTCCGCATTTGCACGTGATAACAAATATATTTTATTATCTTAAAAAATATCTCTCATTACGTATACGTACACAATACATGCTCCGGTACCTACAAGGTATTTAATAAAGACTTTTCATGTTTTTTATGGGATAGGTCGCCAAACGAGCATACCGATTACCTGATGGTAAGCAATCGGCTCTGCCCATAGACACCATAGACCAAAAGAGTTACGAGTGCGTTGGCCGGTCTTTTGGGGATAAAGGTTTGGGTATTTAAGGATTGGGAAGGGCTAAGAAGGAGTGGGATTGGGCCTCGGGTAACCTCACTCACACGGCGAAACACAACGCTGTGGTTGTTTCACGCCGGTTTTCTGCGAGGCCGCGGTATCACTCCGGTTGAGCCGAACCATTCGTGCCGAAGCTGGGCTCTCCTAAACCTAACTGCAAAAAAATAAAAAAAGGTTACACGCATTTATTAATAATAGGAACTTAATATTATTTTAACAAAAGGAAAAATCTTATGCTTACTAACTAATTCTAAACAAGATTTTATGTGATTTTTTGAGAAAATTCTTTTAATTGGTTTTTAAGAAAACCAAGATACCTACTGTGTTATAAGTATAGGTGTGATAAAATTTGCATAAATGTCAATTTTTCTGCTCACGTTCCTACGCCACAGGAAAATTATTGATCACTTTACTTTACAGTTATTTAAACGATTGTTATTACAATTTACTGGGTAACAACTATACCACGTGTTAATCGACACAGGATGTATGAATGATATACAATAGAATATCTTTGGACCAAATTTCATACAGATCTATTCAGTAGTTTTCATCTGTAAGCGTAACATACATACATCCGTCCATCGATGCAACTTACATCCATACTTACAAACTTACGCTATTATCCTGGTTATATGATGATGACATCTTACATTTAATTCCAAAACAATTTTATATTCCTTTACTTATCTTTATTCATATAATTCTGCTACGTGTATGTCATTAAATTCCTCCTAAACGGCTTGACCGATTTAAATGATTTTTTCTGCATACGATTGAGTGGCACCCTGGATGGTTTAGATTCACAAATCAGCCTGGCCCTAGCGATTTCACTGAGATTTGCTATGCGGTGTTTTCAGGAAGGGTCGTTAGTATTTACATATATATATATATTCAACAAATATATGCTCTATTTCTGTCTCTCTAAACTCTTAAGAAAATAAAATTGTTCTTACTCTAATTTTAAACCATAGAGCTTTATGAATAAGTACCAAGTTTCACTGAAACCACCGTTTGTCTTGATTTTTTTGAACCATACAGCTATGTAACACTAGTTATTATTTACAGAACAGTAGAGAGACGATGCTGTACATCCTAGACTGCATCTTCTCAGTGACAGTGGTCGGTTCACTGGTGGTGTTCGTCTGGCGCGGCTCCTGGGCACTGCTCGACATATTCCTCTTCCCTGACGACCGGACAAAATCCTGCTGGACTTCATTGGTATGTGTCATTTTCATAAAACTAAAAAAAATAATTTATATATTATTTATTTATATATAAGTCTATGATTATTTAGACACCACTGATATAATTATAGTGAAGGAAAACACCGTGAGGAAACCTGGACTAATGATTTCTAATTATTAGTTTAAAATCGCCAATCAACCTTGAGGAAGCGTGGTTATTAAATAAATCGACACTGCCTTGACTGAGCGTGGTGATTAGTGCACAAAGCTTCTCTTAGGAAGAAGAGGCCTTTGCCAAATGTGCACTATAGTCTGGTGATGATGACTGCACACTGGATACAATAACAGAACCAGTGTTTTTCAACAGGAATTTTTAAACTATAAGAATCTGGGTCTGAAGGTGTTTCTTAGCAATACTCATCCTATTTCATGAATTTTATAACTAACAAAGAAGGCATAATATAACGTTACATAAATGTAACACCGAAATATGTAAATATTTGCAGTTCTCAAAGTCCAAACATATAAAGTTGTGTAAGCTTACATTCCCAAAATAATAAATAATAAAACCATAGATTTAGAATATATGCGTCGTTTATGTAATATGTTATTCATCTTAACTATTTACCTACCCATAGGGTTTTTTTGAAGTCATTGCACGCGTATTACCTAAGCTGAAGTGTACTTATGCTTTAAATATAGATACTTAAAATAAATACAGAAAACCTGTCTATAAAACACTATTAAACTATTACTTTGTATCGTAGGTACACAAACAGTTATGTAAGAAACTTTAATATTGAATTCTAGACGACAAAAATTATACAGAGCAGTGGAATGCCGCCATTTTGTTTCGCGCATGTTTCCCGCCACAACGGCCATGCTGAAAAACTTTTGCGCACAATTTCCCCACAGAATAAAAATAGATTAGCATCGTAATTCTAAATTAAACAGATAATAATAATTAAAACTACAAATACGGATACAATTATGTAAGTAGTTATGTACTTTTGTAATCCACTGATTATTTTAATATCACCAAATATTAGTGAAAAAAAGTAAATATTTTATAATCCTATTTATGTAGAAAGATGTCATTATAATTGAACAAGATTATGTGAGTTTAGATGAGTCAAGTCACTATGTTAAATTATGTGATTTAAAATGTAATTATGTTGATTCAGCTTCTCTTTTGTGTATTTGGAAAGATTTGACTAAAAATAAGCTCACTTATAAAATAAAACTGCGGTCAATGCTTTCAACTGACATAAACCTTGAAGAGTTTTGATCCTTGGTGACAGTGATGATATAATGCACGTGTGCATTTATTTTGCGTAAACATAAGTTTATAGGTAAAGATATTTCCCGCGATTTTTTATTTCGTAAATGGAAAGCCAATACGAAGAAGACAAGAACATAAGGAAGATACCCAAACAACAATATCATAGACAAAAATAGAGAATGCAATTCTCAGTTGACATTAATGGTTTAAAAAAGACACTTAAATCTCTGAATTTTTAAACATTATAGTAATTAACTATCCTTCCAGCAAGAGTGCATTAATCTTATTCGTTACATAACTCATCAATAAGCGCCTCAATCTGTCAAACAACAATCGATTTGGGTCTGACTGAATCCGTACAAAAAGTACCCATGAGTAAACGAAATGTTCCCATGTAAGCAAATGTCTAACTCTTAACTCGATGAAGAAGCATAATAATTTTTATCGACGTGTTTGTAAATATCAGAGCAAGAATTGTGGTGAAATTCAAGTATGGCAATATAATCATTTTTATTATAAATTATTATAAAAAAATATTCATAAAAAGCAAATAATACCGCTGCACTAGATATGACCACAGATAAAAAAAGACCATAGATTACAATTTTTTTATTATAAATGAACACAGATTATAAATGACAGCAGACTTAGATAGACTAGATATATTATTATAACAACGACGAAAAACCTCCGTTTTTCGGTGCATTTCAAGTAAAGGTTGTAGCTAAGAAGTCTGTCCGAGCCCCTAGCAACAATATAAATAGACGATTAATTAAATAGTCGTATAAAAATGTAGTACATTTTCCGCGTATAGGTTATTATGCGCACTGAGTCAGTGACCACTTATGAGTACGCAATTGGGTCTTCCTCTCGTCCGTCTTGCGTCCCCCAGCGCTCGTACTACACTTCTATTGGATTTTAACTCTCCACGAATTAGGACAAACGGTACCATAAACAATTACCTATGTACCTTTTTTCTTTTATTATTTTGGATGAGATTTTAAATAGCGGTTTATTTGCCATATGAATCAGATGTTAATCATTTAATTTTCCTAGTTATGGATAGATATAGTTCTGTTGCTTATTCTTTTACATTTAATGCCAATTAAGAATTAACAAAAAAACTTGTACCTATAGGTATCTATAATCAATTTTAAATGAATACGTATAATAATTCAATCATTATTATAATCTTGTATTCTAAACTAATATTAACTGTGTAAAAGTAAATTATAAATATAAGGTGATATTTTTAATGGATAAGAATGTTTATAGTTAAAGGAGAAAACACCCGAAATACTGTATCGAATTCAATCACATTCATTCAACTGTTAGTTATTCATTTTTTTAATAAACGTTTCCTCTCACTCGAATTTTTGTCAGTGTTGTGAGCGCGCGTGCAAACATCCAAACTCACACGCAACAGCCATTTAGACCCGAAACAATAATATGTGGATTACACAAAGTGTTGTTATGTGCGGGGATCGCGACACATTGCACAGTAGCCAGTTGCCCAGCTACTGCACCAACCAACGTCTAGTCATTCAGGTCCAAGAGCGTATTCCAAGTTTACAGAAACCTCGTTCATTGCCAATGAAATGACATTGAGAAAATTGCACGTGCACACAACGCAACAGCAAAATGCACTTCATTAGTAAGCAGATCTGCGAGAGCATTTACCTCATTGTCCGTTCCAGAAACGGAACATAATTTGCACTTTGTAAATTGGATAAACACGACTTCCTGACATCTTACCAACTATTTTTAGAACGAAAAGTTCACTGTAGGGATACTTATCACCATAAGACTAGAGCCGGACCACGAGTACTTTTCCTACGCAACAATTTTTGTAACATTTCATAGTTTTTAAAGCCTCTATTTTATCCAATTTTATCCTAATGCTCAAAAACAATCTGTAATCTAAATAAAGTTACAATCAACAAAGCAAAAAATATAACTATTATGATTCATATGTTATATGTAATAGGTAACCAACCCACTCACATCTTCGAAGTCAGTGCCTCAAGTTGTAAACAAAATTATTCAATAATTTAACCTTAATAGGTACTTTACATTAAGCTATAAATAGCATCTATAAATTACTTGGATTTAAAATTACCTGGATTTGTATAAAATTTCATAGTTACAAATTAATAAAATCCAATACAAGAGAAGTACATATTAACTGTTGAACCCTTAGCTATCGAACAACTTAATCAGGTATCTAATGATAGTCACACTCCATCTATGTGTATAGTCCTCGTGAATACTAGTTAATCCAAACACGAATCCGTTGCAGCAAATCCTCAAAGAATTTTCTCGGTTGTCTTTTGGCTCAAACATCGGGTGAACTCCAGACCTTCATCAAAGTACTTTAAAATACTTAATCACGAAACAAACTAACATAATAAACGTCGATTTTCCTAAAATCCCAATAAAAAATAAATACGGTAAAATTAAGACCTATCTTCTTTTTGGAAGTCGGTTATGAAGGGTCGACCGCCTCATAAAACGTGTAACCATAATCGCGTTGTCCTTTTCTATGTAAATGAGGAAAAGGTATACAGGAGACCCATTTTTAAATTTTTAGATATATACCCCCTAAAAGTTCGACCACTATGGTGATTTGAGTGCTGATGGGCGGCGCCAGTTGTTGACCATCAGGCCATCCGTCGGAACCGAACAATCCCATTAAAAATAAATTTGTAATAAAACGAATCACCTGCTACTAAGGCTGATGCTAGACTTATAGTTTTCACTAAGTGCGGTTATCCTTGACAATCTTTAAAATGAGTTATCATATTTTTGGTATTGTTGACTGCATTATTGCTTGCCCAGTGTCGGATAAAACTATAGTTTTTATCAAATAATGTTAAGACAGACATTTAGAAACTTGTATTATTAATATACTGACGCGCATTGGGCAATGTGGTCTACTTGTAAATCAAAACTGTTTGCCGCTGTTTTATTGTTAGCAACCGGAGTCTAAATAATAAAATGGTTTGGGCCTCCTAATATGTCTAAGGATACGTTTGACAACAACATTGGCTATAGTAATAACAATTTCGCCTTGACAGTATATTTAAATTAGCGAACAGGACACTTTATATTTGATTATCAACTTCTTATCCTTCTAGATGAGATAATACGTGGTTTCCTCACTCAGCCTGAGGTTATATAGTCGTTTATGAAATTAGCTCTAAATGGCAATGGTAGGTATATGAGACATCTTGCATTTATTTGCTGTTCCTCATTCGCTGGCGGTCTAGTTCTTGGAATTGTTGCTTCAACCAGAATTGCAGAAATGCAGTCACAATTTACGTCTGAATTAATCTTATTGAAGACCTCGCTCCTTCTTCTTTTAGAAAACCGGCGTGAAACAACCACAGCGTTGTGTTTCGCCGTGTGAGTGAGGTTACCGGAGGCCCAATCCTTCCCCTCCCCCAATCCCTCTTCAATCCCTAAATCTCCAAATCCCTTATCCCTAAAAGGTCGATAACGCTCTTGTAACTCCTCCGTTGGGTGTCCATGGGCGGCGCTGATTGCTTATCATCAAGTAATCCGTCTACTCGTTTGCCGACCTATTACATAAAAAAAAGAAAAGAGCTCCCAGAGTTTTCTTGACTGCAAAATGTAGTTATTTTTCATCTTCTATTTGTAAGTCTTGCGGTGTCTGCTATCCGATCATACGATGCGTCACGTTCCGTTTGCGCCTCGACAAGTCATCAGCTCACCACAGATGGGGTTTACTAAGGCCGATGTAGCCGTAGCAAGAGTAGAAACGGAAAGATTTTTAGCCAGTAAGTGGCGCAGATCATTTACAATCAGGAGATCCGTCTGCTCGTTTGCCTCCTATTCCATAAAAAAAGTTAGCGTCTGACATTCCTTTTCGTCCATACAGAGCGACAGAAGTCATTTGACGATACACTCCCGCCCCTCCCCCCCCCCCCCCCCCACTTCGAAAAAAGTCTTGCATTGTGCCACCCAAAGACTTTGAGTTTGAAACACTTGTCATAGTTTGGAAACCTATCTCATCTTCTAGTAAGAGGAATTGATCGATTTGACTAGTACTTACTTACAATCGATTATTTACTTTCTTTACTTGTATTTTTCCAAGTGATAAGAAAATTAGTTTGTAAATAATATTGTTTGATCAAAGAATGTACGAGTATATTATAGTTAAGTAATTTAGGTTACTCGAGGATTGATTTACATACATATGTTGTGGTAGCCCAGAAATTAAGGCGCCCGCTTTTCATGCTTGAAGGTGCGGTTTCAAAACCTGGCAAGTACCGATGTGACTTTTTTCAAGTTATATATACTTTCTATGATTATATAGACACCACTGATATACGGCGAAGGAAAACATCCTGAGGAAACCTGGACTTATAATATCTAATTATAAGTTTGAAATCGCCTTGAGCGAGCGTGTTGATTAATGCTCAAGTGTTCTTCGTTTGAGAAGAGGCCTTTACTCAGCACTGGGCACTTATAAGCTGATGATGTGATGATTGATTTGAATGAGAGAGACCCCTTTTATAAAATTTGAGACTAACTCCCCCGCAAGTTTCATCTGTTAGGCGAATATATTACTAACTGCCCAAGCAAACTTACCACTTCAATATTAACAAGTATTTGAACATTTCAAACCTTCCGTGGGGGCAGTCCAGCCTTACCAATTCTTAAGTTTTAGGGAAACTAACGAATCGCTATTTTTTTTTCTGTCTTTACCAACGTCTTTATCCTTTACATAAGAGGATTTGCGATAATCTCCATGCTTGGCAAATTAATTGGGGATCGCAATTTTTTAATTATAACGTTGCTCAAACAAGGCTTTCTCCTGTGTCGCGGGTCCGTGCGTTTAAAGGTTCATGTTTGGACAAAATCCTCCCTTTTAGTCCTCCGTTTGACGATGTCGTCGGTCCACCTAATAGGAGGTCTGCCCACGGTACGTCTTTGAAACAGTGGTAGAAATTTTCTGACGGCTTAAATATAACCAATAAAAATGGTCTCAATGTGTTTGTTGAGTTATCTTTCGACATATTAACCGGTCAATTTATACTGGTTATTTAAAGCTTGATGTGTCGCCGTGTGTACCATTTCTATGAGTGGGGAAAATCATGTAATGGCTTCTCCCGCCCTGATAGAGGTAAGGAGGAATGTCAGACTCTTACTGTCTAAAATCCACCCTGTTCTTTCTCGTGCTCTGGCTGGAGCCGCGGCACATTATTGTGCTTGACTTGACTGAACATCAGCTATGTAGTATATTTTTTTTATGTAATAGGTCGGCAAACGAGCAGACGGATTACCTGATGGTAAGCAATCAGCGCCGCCCATGGGCACGCGTAACGGAGGAGTTACGAGTGCGTTGCCGACCTTTTAGGGATTAGGGATTTGGAGATTTAGGGATTGGGGGAGGGGTAGGATTGTGCCTCACTCACACGGCGCTATGGTTGTTTCACGCCGGTTTTCTGTGAGGCCGTGGTATCACTCCGGTCGAGCCGACCCATTCGTGCCGAAGCTTGGCTCTCCCACACTTAAATGATGTTCCAAAATTAACCACATCGTAAAGAAAGAGAAAGCTATACAACATTATACCTTCTCTTACTATTATTACAGTTATCAATTCTATTATTAAAGTTCCTTATTGACATGAAATACCTCGCATCATTGTTACAACGGGGGTTTCCATTCTTGGTCAAATAAAGGTTATTTAAAGCTATATTTGTATACTAAATCCCCTTGTTTACGTGGCTTTGTGTACTAGCTCACCTGAAGCTATTGGTCTGCTGACGACATCAGTTTATTACTTTAATTGCGAGATTATGACGTTTGTTTAGGCTTCGATAGGCGCCAATGTGCCCGCCATGTTTCTATGTGTTTGGTTTTAGAAATAAACTAAATTTATTTAACTGACTCAATATGTGAATTCGGTTGCCAAGTTTATAAAATACGATAAATATAGCAAATATTTTTTTTAAACATTGCCCCTCTCTAGGATTTTCTCCTGTGTCGTGGGTGCATTTAAAAACATAAACAAAAACAAACAAACAAAACAGTATAATTTTACATACACATCACACCCAGACCCGGAATAACAATTTGTGAATCACACAAAGAGTTGTCCCGTGCGGGAATCGCACATTTGCCCAGCCACCGCGCCAACCGTGCAGTCAACTAGTTAGTAGTTATACGGAATTTGGACAATAAAACCACGCAATTAATTTTACGAAGGTTTAAGGTTTATTAGCGTATTCGTGTTAATGAAGTAATCATAGCCTAAGCCTTCCCTATCGCCAATCCCTAGACCCCCAATTTTTAAACCTAATCTACAATAGACGAAGGCAGGCAATTGGTGTTGCGTGTTCACTTGAATACCGTTAGGTAATGCGTCTGCCTGTTTGCCGCTGTATCACATAAAAAATAATAATATAAACAACTTAGAAGTAGCAAGATGATCATCGTTACTACTTCCCGATGCATCTTTAATATAATTGAAATCGTGGGAGTACAGACAATATATTCACACCATCAAACACCATTGACAATATACCTATATATATGTTTACGTTACCTACTGTTGGCACTTTATTTTTATGGGGGCATGCTATGAGTACTTCGTCGATTTTTCCCATGTTCTGTCACATCAATAGATTTTGGCAAAAACACTAAGGACTAATATTTCAATGGTTAGATAATAGTTATCTGGGGAATAATTATAGTGAAGAATGGGAATAATTGAAGTGTCAGATTGTTTGTGTAAGACAGTGACAGCAACAATTTTATTCGTCATATAACATTAATCTGAATATTGAAAATTCAGCTCTAATATTTTTTTTATCCCAACAGATAGTAGGCTACGCGGTGGTGATAGTCACATTCGCCCTTCAAGCCCCAGTGCGCTGGTCTGCGGCGAGGCTACACGGCGCGCCCCGACTCCTGCTGGCTGATGTATACCACTTCATCTCCTTCATAGCCACCGTCAACGTCTGGCGAGGAGTGTGGGGACTGCTTGATATTTACTTCTTTCCAGGTAAGATTGTGTTGATAGATATTGGAACTGAACTTAAAAGAATATAATTGTAAACATAACTGCCTAACAAGTTATTATTTATATACGTATGTATAGGTAACTAATTCAATCACCTATAAATTTTGATATATATATCGATTACACGCGAAAAAAACGAGAGTTCCAAATACAAATCAAAATTTCAAAAAGAACACACAAGGCAGAAATAGACCAATGATCTATACTTCTACATAATTATATTAAATTTTATAAAAAAAATAAATTTGAAATTTGGAAGTTTGTATGTAGGTGGTAATGTTTGGAACCACTTGTTGGATTTTCAAAATTATTTCACTGACAGATAGCTACAATAATCTTGAGTACTATACGTGATAAAACATGACGCTACGATCTATAGGAGCCGAGTAGCCAGTGAAACCTCCCGAGAGAAGCAACAATGCGATACGATCACCAACTCACAGGCAAGCAAAAAAATACATTACGAAATGAATAACAAAATTAATCCATTAATTGCATTACAGAATCACCAAAGCTCAGCAATTGGAGCTCCCACATCATCAGCTTGACGCTCCTCATCCTGCTGAACTGTTCCAACTCGGTGATCGTCCGAGGGGTCTACATCGACGCTGAGGAGCCAGCGGGAGAGTGCGTTGTCTTCCCTTGCCATTACCTCAGGCTTTTCTTCCATAAAGAACGAACCAAGAAGAGGCACAGAAGAGCTTTACAGGCTGCTGCAGCTGCTGGCAGAAAGCCAGAAGATGCTAGCGTACCCTTACAGATACCTGAAGAAAAAGTCTAGTTTTAAAATGTGTTCCACAGTAGTGAAGGAACTTTATTTGTACGGTTAGTCCCCAGTGATGCAGTGTTTTTGAAGTGAACAAGGGGATTGAGGCTATTAACATACGGAGTAATATTACGTGACCCGCCTATGGAGTATAATACTACTTATAAGAGCGAAACTAGCTTAAAATACCTGATACTTTCGAATAATAATGATTTTGAAACAAGTTGTTCAAAATCGTTCGTACTAGTTTAGTAGTACGAATTTGCTGCTAGGTAAGAATTTCGCCTCTATTCGAAGTATTTTTAATCACATTTTTCTACAACATTGCCCCAAACACGAATAAAAAATACGCAAAAACCGTAGCCGAAAGTCTCGTAGCAATTCTCGTAGCAAAAGATGTAGCGCGTAGCATTTTTCTTTTACTCAAAACTTTGTGAAATTCAACACTGTTACTGCATAAATATTTAGTGCTCTTTGTGATTGTGATTGTTGTTATATGTTTTTTCTACTATATAAGTAATAATACATAACAATAAAGGTAGTACAAAAACAGATTCTATTGTAAAACTTTTACGACTTTTTTTCGAATTTACTTTAACTTTCCAATCGACATACTTTATGTGACTTCTTTACAGACTACCTCTTTCTTCATCCTGTTTTATAGGATCCTTACTCAAATTCAATTATCTTTACATTTTCAAGCGCCTATTATATTACTACCAGCAATCTTTAGCAGTACGTTGTATAACTTCTGAAGAACCATCACAGCATAATCTTCACGTCACATCCTTAGCTTAATTTAACATAAGTATTCGTTCTAAGTCAAGATATTAAAGTCTTTACTAGTTTTTAAAAGTAAAATATGTAAATATGGTACAATACAGTTATAAGCACTAAGTTATTATAAGTACTGTTGAACAAAACACAATAAACGTATTGATATTTTATCTTTTGTTTTAATTATAGCTTTAGTTAATGAATTAAATTGATTGTGAACAACGATTTACGATGTACATTATTGATGATAGTGGATGCGGCGTTGTGTGTGGTGATATATCTCAGTCATATGAAGAATGGGGTAAGTGTAACTAAAAGTAAAACTTCAAAGGGGATTACTTTCGTTCAAAGAAATTATTCTAGGTTGTAATTTCATAAAAATAATATAGTTTTTTTGGACCTTATTCAAGCGTTTATACAGTTGACAGTGATCGGTTAAAAAAATCTTGAAATAATCCTGTATTTAAGAAAAAGCAGATGATTTCCCTAGTAAAAACTAACGAAAAGTATAGAAATTAAATCTAAGGTCCTGTGTAAAGCTAGTCGCTAGGCCTGACAATTTTAAGGCGTTCCACAAGGTACTAACTTGGCTCCTAAAAATATTGGTGTTACGTGTTTAATTTGTAAGTAAATAAAGACGACAATGCCATACTAATTCTTCAAAACCAGCACATCAAATGAATCCGACTTCGTTTATAACCAGGAAAAAACAATACCTACAACGACAGAATTACTTTCATTGAAAAAAATCACAAGATTTATTCAATTAAGAACATTATCAATTAACTTTATTGAATTAAATGTATTGGACATCTATCTTGCAATCATTCACAATTATAATGAATAATGAGGGCATGAGGCTCTGGTCGGCGAAAGCAGAAATACTTCCCCGACAGTCTATTAATATCCTTTGGAAGAAAACCAAAGGTCCTCGACCCTACTTAGCATACAAACAAAGCCTTCCATTCACAATAAGCCTTATATTCAATGCTGTAAGGTTGATAATAAAGTTGATTGGGAGCAAGTCCGGAGTTTCATTGAGACGACAATGATGATATGTTATCTCATAGGTTACATGCTTTATAGCAGATTCGAATTTCTGTTTTAGTTTTGCTTCTGGGTTTACTTGCAGAATTGCAAAATAATTTCGGACATCAAGGTTCAATACTATTACATTATTGTGTGTGTGGCGATATATAGTATGGTCCAGACATCACCTACCTAGAATGGTTATCGATTCAACTTACTACATTATTTGTATTAATTAATACCTATGGAGCCTCTATATAAATGCAAAAATATAACAACTCAAAAGTAAACATCTTGTTTACGTTAGGTTTAGGAAAGAGTTAGGGTAACGGAGTTCAAAGACTCTATCCATATCATAGACCACTACTCATAAAGCTGGCAACGCACCAGAGGTACAAGTGTACATTTACTGGTAATCAAATTGTCAGGTACTTAAAAACGACCACGTTGTAAGATTAAGGTAGGGCACCTTAATCTTACAACGTGGCCGTGAATATGGCCCGTCAATGAAGCGTCCTAATGCATGAAGTGGGTTCACAACTTGTGACGCGACAGTTTCTTGGAACCGGCAGTCATCATCATCATCATCATCAGCCTATAAGTGCCCACTGCTGAGCAACGGCCTCTTCTCATACAGAGAAGGTTAGTCCATTAATCACCAAGCTCGCTCAATGCGGGTTGGCGATTTCAATCTTATAATTAGAAATTATAAGTCCAGGTTTCCTCACGATGTTTACCTTCACCGTATGTTAGTGGTGTCTAAATAATCATAGAAAGTACATTTAACTCGGAAAAAGTCACATTGGTACCTGCCAAGTTTCGAACCCACACCCTATGCATTAGAAGCGGGCTTCTCAACCTTTGCACGGCACCGGCACTTTGCCGGTCGTGATGGCCACCACGACCGGCAAAGTGCCAAAGTACCAATCCGATTTTAATATTTTATTTACTTTGCGATAAATGATAGTGTGGTAAACTTGAAATTGCCCAAAAATTGGTAAAGAATCGGTCTCCGCATTGAGACCTTTTTTGAGGGAGAAATTCATAAAATGAAAAAATGCATTCACTCGTCAAGGATGAGGCGATGGAGACGAAGTATCAGATCCTTACTGACTAAAAGCTACCAAGTTACGTCTCCTACTCCTGGCTGGAGCGGCGGTACCTTATTACGCTTACCGACCAAGCTTTTGAGGTCCATCAGTGGTCTAATGGTTCTTTGAACTCGTACGCTAAGGCAGCGAGCTATCCTTGCTCGCCGTTCTCAGATCCGCGAATGCAGTGGCCGGAGATCGTCGCTCGATCCCAGTCGCACGGAGTGTCTCCCATTGCAACGATCCGCATCGAGCTAGCGTGGAGATTATAGCTTGAACCTTATCCATGTGTGTAGTAGGATTAAGTGATAGAATTCATCACAATCAGCCTATAAATGCCCCATAGATGGAAGACAAAAAACTATAACACTAGTTCCTACCTCGACAACAAAATATAACCAAATAGTTGAACTCCAAATATTCCAAATGAATCGATTACCTAATTTCTACTGGATATTTCCACGAACAAACAAATCCTATCAACTATCTTATATAGTAATAACCTACCGCTGTGCGATTTAAGTAGTAAATATTGTATTATTGATATTATTTATTCGTTTTATCTTCAGACATGCTTGCGTGCTTTATAAAGGATACCTAACAATGTTTTTGTCTCAACATGTACTTGTGTACTTGGAGTACTCTTTTGAATAGTAACTTAATTAATTATTGCTCGTAGGTTTATTTGAATTTGTATTAAAGATAAACTAATAGTTCCGAGAATTTTAATTGCTCGTAGCAATGATATTATAAGTAAAATGGTTTAGATAGGTTACATAAGCAACATTCGATTTTCAAAAACGGCACACTGATGCACACATGAACAATGCGTATCATTAGACGTCAAAGTGGGATGGCATGATTTAATAATCGCGAGTGAAAAAGAGACAAATATGAAAAAGAGTGGCTAATTAGCCACATTTTAATGTATCACTTGCTGAGCGCTTATGACCTATCTACACCTTTTTACTTATAATATCTTTGGCTCATAGTATGTATTTGTGACAATGACAACGCAACGTTAACGCCATCTAGTATTAAAAGAGTTGGACACAACAATGACAGAAAATTGACCAGCGTCCATTTCTATACTAATATTATAAAAAGGTAAAATTTGTAAGTTTGTGTGTATGGGGTAATCTTTGGAACCGCTGGTCGGATTTCCATAATTCTTTCACTGATAGATGGCTACAATGTTCCTGTATGCTATAGGCTATAAAAGATCACGCTACGATTAAATGGAGCCGAGCAGCGGGTGAAACCGCGCGAGAGTAGCTCGTATAAGATATAGAGATCAAAAGTACATAAACAATGTACATGAAACGAAGGGATCAACTCTTTAGTATTTACTTTTTGAATACTCAGAAATATTGTTAATTGAACATTTTCAACGAATCACCTCCTTTTCACTGATCGCCCATGTTGAGTCTCATGCAATTTTTATATCCTTTTTAGTATAGGTCGGCCAGTAAGCAGACGTGTCACCCGATAGTATGTAAGCAATCGGCGCATCTCATGGACACCCGCAGAATTAAACAAAAGCGCGTTGTTATACTTTATAAGTCATTATATTCATAATGGGATTTGAGGATTGGGCCTCCGAATTATAGAATTACGGCACTTATGGGTAAAACAACGAAAAGTTGTGCGCAACTATAAGTCGATATTCTGTGAGGCCATTAGGGGCTGTTATTATTCCAATTTTGCCGGCCAATTTCTACTAAAGCATGGCGCTCGCTCCCACACTTTATAATTAAGTATTTGGTAATAAGGATTGATCAAGTAATATACTTTAAAGTAAGGCAATAAGGTACCCCTTAAATACAAGTACGATAAGATAACTTAAACATAACTATCTTAAGCATTATGTGACTTAAAATCCGTAATTTCGTTTGCCTTCAACAGTTCTCTGTCGAAACTCAAAAGCATTACTTACTTGATAAATAGCAACAAAAATGACGTCTTCATTTAAGTATATTTTAGAAAAAAGAACACCTTAAAAATAAGCATTATAAATAAGAAATCCATTATAAAAGGTTTTATTAAAATCGAATAGTAAAGTCGGTGTACGCGATCTTCGCGACGTACTCCCAGTTGGTGAGGTCACATTTCTCTATCTTGCAACCTGGAGACCCCGTTGTGCTTAGCCAGTCAATCCTGAAAAGAGCAAAAAAGTATTATTATAACATTAAAATATTGGAATACCCCGTGTATATTAAAATTTTATGATAGGTTTTCATTTTCAGAGTTTATTTCTCGTTCTTCTCCATTCGAATCTACAATTTGGAATGAGCACCTAGCTTCACTGACGAACAGACTGACAGACTACTTCTCTATTTTGACGTTTTAAAAGTACCTATTTATGGTTTAGTTGGAATAAATGATTTTGACTCTATATCTTATTGGGGAAGGAAACACATCGAATGCCTTTTCTCGCCTAGATTATGGCGAAAGGGAGTTTCAGACTCTTAATGACTAAAAACCGTCCCTGTATATCTTAATTGTTGACGTTTAAAAGTAAGCAATTAAGTTGCATGCATTGGAACGGTTGGTTGCAAGTTTTATCATAACCTATTGGGAAGTAGAAGATAATTCCATACCTGATTTAAATAAATAATAATTCATATGTTATCGATATTTATACATAACATAGCTATTGAGAAATAAGAAGCAGTCATTTTTCATGGTTGGATAATCCAATGAGCTCTAACCCTGGTCGGGGCAAGAGTGGCTGACTAGTTCTTAGTTACTGACTACAATCCAACCCTTTCCTTTTGAAACACATCCACAGCTAGATGAGAAGCAGTCCCGAGCATACTTTAGCCATATTAAATCGACATTGGCTAGTAATACACTAATTATAAATCAGAACAATCCGGAACTGCAATACCAATCATACCATATCTCTTTGGAACAAACCCAAGTTGTTTATTTGATTGTTATTTCACATTAGAAAGCTTAGTTGTATTTTGGCAAAGTACTAACTCTTGTACTTATGGGAAACATGTCTTAGCTAGTTACGGCCGCTCCGTTAATAAAAAAATAAAAGTGGTTTTGATTTTTTGTTTTGGTGGATCATCTGATGTTAATCTGTCGGGGTCATCTATAAATAAACTTTAGACTTACTTGCATTTTGAAGATCTAATGCACAGGTGTAATGCAGCTATTTAATTTCTTCACTACTTAATAAATTTATAAAACTTTGAAGAAATTTAGTATACATTCAAACCTTTGTCTTCAAATTACTGTATCTATTAAAGAAACACCACCTAATTCCGTTGTTTTTAAAGATTTAAGCATACATAGTAAGAGATATAGGGACAAAGAAAGTGATTTTGTTTTTATAGTATACAGTATAGATATTACTCACATGTGATCTAGTTGTGCCTTCGTGCCCTGTATTTTGCCGACAATTGTTCCTTTTTTCGAGTTCTTGACCCAGCCGCCCACGCCTAGCTGCTCTGCTAGCTCCTTGCAGTACTTTGTGAAATAACACCCTAGAACAAACAGAATTTATAAGTAGGCATATACTTCTTCCATTGGGTGGCACTCTTTTTAGATGACGGAAAAAATATTAAATTACTTCTCTCGGCCAAGGTTTGGCGAGACCATGAGGCGGACGTGCTAGACTCTTGCTGACCAAAAACCCCCCCGCCCCTTTTTCTGCTCTATGCCGAGGCCATGGTGACTATCCCCATGTTTAACCTTATAGCGCTTGACCCGCAAGCCCGCAACCCCGGCTAAATATCAGCCTTGTTGGGCCTCACCCTTGGTTTACTTAGAACCTTAGTATACTATTTGCTAATTACACAAACAAAAAATATTGCTTTTAAGCCTAATGGTGTGCTTTTAAAAAGAGAGCAGTCGAAATGCAAGTAATGCAATAGCTCTTTTTAATATCTTTATAATTAAATTATTAATAACATAGCAAAGTTTTACAGTGGTCGCGGTAGCCTTTATGTTCTCTTCTCATGGAGGCTCGATCATGCACGAGTGTGCCGGTGCGAAACCTGGCAAGGACCAATGTGACCATTTTAAGCAGATTTTAACATCACTGATGAACGGTGAAGGCAATTATCGTGAGAAAATTGGACTTCATAATTTCTAAAATTTATAAGTTTGAAATCACCAATACGCTTTGAGCAAGCGTGGTGGTTATTGCGCAAATCTTCTCCGTGTGAAGAGGCCTTTGCTCAGCAGTGGGCACTTATAGGCTAATGATAACAATGTAAAAATATTGCTATGTGATCGCTATGAAAGTAATCTCGAATGTTTATTGTGACCGATTACGCGTCCAAATACCTCATTGACATCGACCCACATACAACTAAATCTAATTTTAAACAGTTGACTGATTAGTTCTTAGTTCAAATCAACTGATGGTAGTGGTTTTAAAATAAAACAATCGAAAATCATTAACGTTAAACAATTTACGCAGTAACATAACCTGAAGAAAAATATTCCTTATAGATATAATTAAAAAAACGTTATTAAAATAAATTAACGATTTTTAAGATTTATTAAAACCGACTTCCAAAAAGGAGGATGGTTCTCAATTCGACCGTATATATGCTTTTATCTATTATTCGATTGGTGTTCAAAAAAATAATGCGGTAAAGTAATTGATGAAATTGAAATTTTCATCTTTTTCGAACCAGCATTTTAGGCGTTGAGTTTGTTTTGTACAGAAATGTATTTCGTACGGTCATTCTCTTTCCATTGCCGTCATTGAAATCTATTGTGATTTTGAATTCAAGTGACAAACAAGCCCTCTTTTTAAAAAATATAATTTTATAGGCACAAAAACATTTTCATCTCGCGTACCAGTTTTTAAGGTCCTAAAGATGATCATACTAACCTTGAACCTGTCCATAGACCTCAAATTCCACTGCAGCCAACGCATTAGGATCATCAGCACCCATCACAAATGAATAACGTCTTTATTTCTAACAATTTTAGACACAAAATGCACTGCACTGAAAAAATAATACCAAGACTTGTTTTCTCAGTTCAGTATCGCGCCCAAACTATTGAAATCCGCCCGCCCTAGTGCCAATACAATGGCAACTGTCCTACTTTATATACATTTATTTATATACAGATTCAAGTACCTACGTAATATTTATGTGTTTGTTTGAACAAATGTTTTGTATCAATCATATTTTTATTATAGTCCCTGTTATATCAACAAGGTTGACAGGAGATGATAAACACTTAATTTTTATTATTATAACATGAGTGTCTATGAACATAAGTTAAATAATGTTATTCGTTAATTGGTATAGGTTTATTTAGTTGTAAATGTGAAGCTAGATAAATTAAGTGTCGTGTATCTAAAAAAATATTTAAAAGAAAAACAAGCATTTATCACACGTACACACAAGAAATCCCAAGAGTAGGTATACACTTTAAAGACATTTTCGTGGATTTAGTAAAATCAAATATAGCAGCCGATTAAAAGTTATCCAAACCAAACGTATAACTGCCCAGAAATCACATGACAAAGAAGAAAGAAAGAAAGAAAAATAACTTATTTGGCATGAACAATAAGAAAAAAAAATATTGCAAAGTTAGGTACAATAATAAGAAATAATTATAATACAACAATAAAAAAAAGACAAAACATTATAAACTAAATTAAAAGCTTGTAATGAATAAAAAAGACATTTTTATATACCTACCTACTTTTTATATGTATATTTTTTCTGACTATGTTACTTGAACAGCAATAAAATCATCTAGGCTAAATAACGAAGAAAATAATACTCATTTAAACGCATTGAAATCTTTATTCGCGAGCCGAGCATTTTACGCAGTACTCTATAACTACGTCCTAAAATATGGTCCCTCAAAATGTCATCAACAAAGAGCCTTAATTAATCTCCTGCTGGTACAACTCGGCCATTGAAGAAGGAAGCTCCCACCCTACGGTGAGGGCATGGAGTGGACGGTTCCGCAGGCAATTACAAATTATATGATTGTCCATTGATTGCACTAACTGTTTCCTAATAAACTGGCCCGCTGACGTCCTACGAATATAGGTGAAGGATTTAGTTTCTGAATGGGGGGACCTGAAAGAATTTGACAGATACACATTCACATTTTATGTATGACTGCACGGTTTGTGCGGTGGCTGGGCAACTGGCTGCCGTGCAACGTGTCGCGGGTTCGATTCCCGCACGGAACAACACTTTGTGAGATCCACAATTGTTGTTTCGGGTCTGGGTGTCATGTGTATGTGACATTGTATGTTTGTAAACGCAACCACAACACAGGAGAAAATCCTAAAGTGGGGCAACGTTTATTTTAAGACATTTCATTTTATGATAGCGGAATATAACATTAATTGTTACTTCTCCTGCTTCAGTACGTTCAGTAGAACTGTCTCAGCCACACATCTTTCCAAATTACAAATTATCTCGTCTATTCTCAATCTCCAAACCTGCCGAGCATTGAGGTGTCGGAGTTGCTTATGCAAGCTCAATAATGTTCAACTCGGAAAAGTCTGAAACTACCTATCAAAACATTATTATTTTACCCTCTTAAAAAAGCATGGAGATTATCGTCAACCCGTCTTATGTAGATGAGACCCAATCCGATAGTAGACTGCCACAGCTTTATAAAACAACAATCTGAGGCAGTTGTATGTGTGGCAACGAACAGCCCAAAGAAAAGAAAACCTAGAGGGTTATTGTTACCTTACCTGTCCTCCTCGTGGTTGGATATTCTATACTGCAATTGCCAGTTATACGTGTCGTGTAAAGCACTCTAGAATATTTCTGCTTCATCACCAAAGAGGATATATCCTCTATACTCATCACCATGCAGTACACCATAGATGGTTTCACTATGTCCTATATTATCCAGTTTTTTAAATCATCATAGGATTTCCTTGTGTTGTGGGTGCGTCTACAAACATACAGTTTTACAGACACATGATAACCAGACCCGGAAAAACAATGTTTTTGAACACAAAGAGTTGTTCCGTGCGGGAATCGAACCAGCGACGCGTTACGCAGCAGACAGTTGCCTAACCACCGCGCCAACCTTGCAATCGATATAATGATAATCCCCCACAAAAATATAGGGCTATTAGTTCTGTTATACACAACAATACCAATTTATATATCTATTATTGGTTTCCGATAGGTAAGTTTGGCAAATTGCCAATATCGTAGAGAAACTGCAATACCAGATATGTACCTAACTCTATAATAATATTTAGGTTATGCTCTTCAAACGTAATGTGACAGAAAACTCTTTGACATCATGACGTCAATGGATGGTTGTCAAACGTTGCCTAGAGATTGTAAATTTCGTCGTGAATTGTCAACACGAGTTGGTGTAATCGGTAAGGCGTGTGGATTACACCACAGAGACCCCGAGTTCGAGTCCCGCCGTAAACATGAAGTTTTTTAGTTGATGGAAGTTTTGTCGAACTTTCTGGAATATTTGAGTGAAAGTGATGAAAAATTAAGGAGCGAGAAGGAGAATAAATAAAAATGAATAACGAAATTATTGGAAGGTTCTGGAGGCATGACGATCAAAAAGAATAACGAAATTGAATGTTCTAGAACCTGACCGGGGGTATATAAGCGGAACTGCGGCTCACCGCTGGCAGTTGAGTTCTAAGTCCAAAGCGATTCGGAAGAAAAGGAAGAAGTGAAAAAGAAGAAAAGTGAGTGAAATAGTGCAGTGCAGTGAAATAGTGAAGTGCAGTGAGTTAAGTGAAAGTCAGCGTGAACAGTGAGCGGCAAACGGAAGTTTGTGTCAGTCGCCCGGACTCTGCTGGAGAGGAACGCCGATAACTTAACTCCGTGGACGCTGTCATCTAAGTGCAAAAGAAAGTCTAAAACCGGTATTAGTGTTTTATTTCATCCAATCCCGTAACCCAAGCCCGCATAGTCAGGAACGTGACGAGGCACGTAACATTTGGTGTCAGAATTGGTGCCGGAAATGCACTAGTTGTGCAGCTGTCAAGGGTCCACAAACAAGGAGCAGGGGGGCGATGAAAATCTACAATGTTGGTATGCCTTGGGAGAGAATAGCCTTAGACATCGCTGGACCATTTCCAATCACTGATTCGGGCAATCGCTACGTTTTAGTGGTTATGGATTATTTTACAAAATGGCCGGAGGTCTTTGCTATACCGAATCAAGAGGCAGTAACTGTAGCGACGAAGTTGGTAAACGAGGTATTCACCCGATTCGGAGTGCCCTTGGAGATGCACAGTGATCAAGGACGGAACTTTGAATCCCAAGTTTTCCAGGAAACTTGTAAACTTTTGGGAATCCATAAGACTCGAACGACCCCTTATCATCCACAGTCAGATGGAATGGTCGAACGCTTCAACCAAACATTGGAGCGACACTTAGCAAAGGTGGTTGACAGCCATCAGAGAGATTGGGACACTTACATACCTCTCTTCTTGCTTGCCTATCGGACTGCTGTACATGAAAGTACCGCAAAGACGCCTGCATTTGCAAATTTTGGAAGGGAATTGAGATTACCGGCAGATCTTGTATCGGGCTGTCCACCTGGTGATTCTCGCACCGAGTTTAGCGATTACATAAGCGAGTTAAGGGCAAAAATGTTGGACATTTATGAGCAGATCAGGGAGGCCGGTCTTCAAGCTAGTGATCGCGCAAAGACGCGCTATGATCGACGAGCCAATTCTGTTGGGTTTGAAGAGGGGTCATTGGTCTGGCTTCATAATCCAGTCAGAAGGAAGGGAAAATCTCCAAAGCTGCAACCGAGTTGGGAAGGTCCTTACGAGATAGTCACGAAGATCAATGACATTACTTACAGAATTCGGAAGTCTTCAAGGAGCCCTTTGAAAGTTGTCCATATAGACAGGTTGGCGAGGTATTACGGCAGCAACGATGCTCGGGACGAGCGAATCTAAGAGGGGGGCAGTGTGACAGAAAACTCTTTGACATCATGACGTCAATGGATGGTTGTCAAACGTTGCCTAGAGATTGTAAATTTCGTCGTGAATTGTCAACACGAGTTGGTGTAATCGGTAAGGCGTGTGGATTACACCACAGAGACCCCGAGTTCGAGTCCCGCCGTAAACATGAAGTTTTTTAGTTGATGGAAGTTTTGTCGAACTTTCTGGAATATTTGAGTGAAAGTGATGAAAAATTAAGGAGCGAGAAGGAGAATAAATAAAAATGAATAACGAAATTATTGGAAGGTTCTGGAGGCATGACGATCAAAAAGAATAACGAAATTGAATGTTCTAGAACCTGACCGGGGGTATATAAGCGGAACTGCGGCTCACCGCTGGCAGTTGAGTTCTAAGTCCAAAGCGATTCGGAAGAAAAGGAAGAAGTGAAAAAGAAGAAAAGTGAGTGAAATAGTGCAGTGCAGTGAAATAGTGAAGTGCAGTGAGTTAAGTGAAAGTCAGCGTGAACAGTGAGCGGCAAACGGAAGTTTGTGTCAGTCGCCCGGACTCTGCTGGAGAGGAACGCCGATAACTTAACTCCGTGGACGCTGTCATCTAAGTGCAAAAGAAAGTCTAAAACCGGTATTAGTGTTTTATTTCATCCAATCCCGTAACCCAAGCCCGCATAGTCAGGAACGTGACGAGGCACGTAACAGTAATATGCGTATTCACGCACGGTACCTATGTATGAAACTAGGAGTATTGGAGGTTACTTTACTACTAACTAAAATCCGTTGGATGTACAATATAAGCGTGAGTAGTAGAGAATAAAGTAAGGGAGAATCAATCTTCGCGAATGGGCCATCTCGACCGGAGTGATACCACGGCATTACAGAAAATCGGCGTGAAACAATCATAACGTTGTGTTTCGCTATAAAAGTGAGGTTCACGGAGGGCCAATCCTTCTCCTGCCCAATCCCTAAATCTACGAAACCCTCATCCCGTAAACGCCAGCAACGGACTAGCAACACCTCT